TTGTAACTAATCTGGTAGTTAACACATATTATTAATTAAACAATGGTATGGAACTACATCTTATGTTACAGTGACTGATAAAGCTAACACGGATCGCCAGCTAACCCATATTAAGGAACTACATCTTATGTTACAGTGACTGATAAAGCTAACACGGATCGCCAGCTAACCCATATTAAGGAACTACGTCTTATGTTACAGTGACTGATAAAGCTAACACGGATCACCAGCTAACCCATGGTAAGGAACTACATCGTATATTACAGTGACTGATAAAGCTAACATGGATCACCAGCTAACCCATGGTAAGGAACGACATCTTATGTTACAGTGACTGATAAAGTTAACATAGATCGCCAGCTAACTCATGGCCGAGGGAGTTCTTCATGGGTAGGTGAGGTCAGGTAAATCCACAGATGGCTCCAGTCATCATGGTCCTACCAAAGTAGTCTAAAAGAACTTTTGGCTCCTCAGTAGGTCGATTTACTGCTGAGAAGTTCTTCTGAAACTACCCAATTGGCGATTTTCTCATCAATGTACTTCTAAAGGTGGTCACAATAGATAAACTTTAGCTTGTATCACCTATTCTCCATGCACCTATTTAATTTTGAACTTGGTTTATTACTTACAGCCACCTTTTTTTTTCTATAACAATCATGGCCATCTTGAATACTTACAAATTTGTATATAACATTCAGTGTCATAATTTCACATAAGACTAAATTTAAGTTGTTTAAAGCAACACCACCGTTAGTTTTACTGAACTTTTCAGACAAATTCAAAGTAGAGGGTAAAGTTCATATGCCAAACATTTCACTTTTGAAAATGAACAACGACAGTTAGCTAACCACAGAAGACTGTTAAAGATGAATGGTAAAGTTCACCACTATCGGTTTCCACAATTTAATAAAATTACTGGAATCTATTTTCAGTTGTGAAGGATGACGTGTAATTAATATCTTGTATTTTCACACTGTGTAATTTGATAATTTTATCACCAATTCATAAAAAAATAAAATAAAAGTAATCATTTTGGAGCTACCAAAGATGAAGATCTTTGTGTTTTCAGAACGTGAATTTACATAAGTTTATTATCACATCATAAAGAATAAAATAACTGTTATCATCACTGAGTTATCAAAGATGAAGGATAATATATTTTATTTTCACACTATAAATTCACATGAATTTATAACCAAATCATAATAAATTAAATAAATGTAACTAATTCTGTGTTAGAAAAGATAAAGGATAATATCTTGTATTTTTACATCATGATTTCACCCATTATGGTTATTAAATACAATGCATAATAGCAGAGGCAACTAATGTCTTGTATGAAACTTGCATAAACAAGAAGACAGCCCCCAGTGGCACAGCGGTATGTCTGCGGTCTTACAACGCTTGAAACCGGGTTTCGATACCCGTGGTGGACAGAGAACAGATAGCCCATTGTGTAGCTTAGTGCTTAATTACAAACAAACAAACAAGAAGGCAACTAACTGAGATAAATAAAATGTAACAATAAGATAAAATCTAGGAAGCAAGAAAACATATACTGTGTGGCACTCACCTGAAGCTGAATATTATATGTCTGACAGCAAGCTCTCTGGGACTGTAGTTGATCATATGCTGGTGGATGTGGTCTGTTGAATCATTTTTTTTTTACTTGCCATGTTGCGTTCCGTCATTTC